GTGGTGGGCGCCTGTAGTCCCAGCTACTCGGGAGGCTGAGGCAGGAGAATGGCCCTGGGAGGCGGAGCTTGCCTGGCGACAGGAAAAAAAAAAAAAAAAAAGGAAAGAATCATAAATTGGTACAACCATGAAAAAAAATAAGGAACTACTGTGTCTGGAAGGAAGGTTGTTTTTTTTTTTTTCTGCTGTCTGTTTGAGACAAGGTCTCACTCTATCACCCGGGCTGGAGTGCAGTGGTGCGATCATGGCTCACTGCAGCCTCAACCTCCTGGGCTCAAACGCTCCTCGCACCTCAGCCTTTCAAGTAGCTGGGACCACAGGTGCATGCCATCATGCGCAGCTAATTTTTGTATTTCTGGTAGAGATGTGGTCTTACTATGTTGCCCAGGCTGGTCTCAAACTTCTGGGTTCAAGCTATCATTCTGCCTTGGCCTCCCAGAGTGCTGGGATCACAGGCATGAGACACAGCGCCCGACCCTCTGTAAATCTTTGTGGTACACTGACACACTTTTCCCAGTCTGGGTATATAAGGAAAAAAACAGTCATTTCGATATACTCAAAAGGAAAAGGGGGCGGGGCGCTGTGGCTCACGCCTGTAATCCTAGCACTTTGGGAGGCCGAGGCAGGCAGAGTGCCTGAGCTGAGCAATGTGGTGAAATCCAGTCTCTAATAAAACACTAAAAAATTAAGTCGGGTGTGGTGGCGCACGCCTGTAATCCCAGCTGCTCAGGAGGCTGAGGCACGAGAATCTCTTGAGCTCGGGAGGCGGAGGTTGCAGTGAGCCGAGGTTGTGCCACTGCACTCCAGCCTGGGCAAGAGACTCCATTTCAAAAAACAAAAAGGAAAAAGGAAGAGGCCAGGCGCGGTCCCCAGAAGGTATCGTGTCAACGTCCGAAAGAAAACCCAAGTTCAGCCTTTTTTTGTGTGCAGCCAGGCACACGCTGGACCACAGCCACCCACTGTGTGTTCCAGAGACTTCGCTGGGACTCCGAAAGGCAGAAGTGAAGGCCTCCTCCCAGAATCCCATTTCTGAAGTCGGATTTGCCTTTTCTGCTTAAGCCATTTGACCTTCTAAATGCCAGGAAAACAGACACAGAGCTCGTCGGCTGGGGAAGGTCTAAAACTCCCCACCTCAAAACCCCAAGCTCTGAGTCAGCTGTGTGGGGAGTTTTTCTGAAACCTCCACTATCAGGTCCCTAAGGTGGGAGAATACCTCCTCGGAAGGGAATTTTTTTTTTTTTTTCAAGATGTTGCCTCACTCTGTTGCCCAGGCTGGGGTGCAGTGGCATGATCTTGGCTCACTGCAAGCTCCGCCTCCCGGGTTCAAGCGATTCTCTGGCCTCAGCCTCCTGAGTAGCTGGGACTACAGGCACGCCCCAGCACGCCCGGATAATTTTTGTATTTTCAGTAGAGATGGGGTTTTGCCATGTTGGCCAGGCTGGTCTTGAATACGTGACCTCAGGTGATCTGCTCTCCTCCGCCTCCCACAGTGCTGGGATTGCAGGGATGAGCCACCCGCAGCTGGTCAGCACATCCCAGTTCAGACCAGCCACACTGCAAGGCCTCCACAGCCACAGGTGGTCAGCTCGGCTCCAGAGTTAAAAGAGAAAAGTCAACCTGTTGAAAGAGAGGGCGCTGGGAAGGGTGCAGTGGAGCGGGTGTTGCCTGAGGTGGGTGCCTGAGTCATTCCTGGGGAAAGGGAAACACATCCGGGGGTCCGGAGGACAGGGACGTGGCATGCTGGGAGTTCACTTTCTTAGTCCACACTCTGTAATCGGTAGATCTTCTCAGTGAGTTCTAATAAGCAAGTCCCTGACAACTGCGGTTAAGAACCTAGCTTCTGGAAGTTCTCAGGGCTGCAACTCTGCAACTCTGACAGCCCGGGGGCTCATCCAGCCCTCCTTCCTTTTCCTTTGTACTTTTTTTTTTTTTTGAGACGGAGTCTTGCTCTGTCGACCAGGCTGGAGTGCAGTGGCGCCATCTCGGCTCACTGCAAGCTCCACCTCCCGGGTTCACGCCATTCTCCTGCCTCAGTCTCCCTACTAGCTGGGACTAAAGGCGCCCGCCACCACGCCTGGCTAATTGTTTTGTATTTTCAGTAGAGACGGAGTTTCACCGTGTTAGCCAGGATGGTCTCGATCTCCTGACCTCGTGATCTGCCCGCCCTGGCCTCCCAAAGTGCTGGGATTACAGGCTTGAGTCACCGCGCCCGGCCTTTTTTTTTTTTTTTGACAGTCTTGCTCTGTCGCCCAGGCTAGAGTGCAGTGGTACAATCTCAGCTCACTGCAAGCTCTGCCTTCCCTGGTTCACGCCATTCTCTTGCCTCAGCCTCCCGAGTAGCTGGGACTACAGGCACCTGCCACCACGCCCAGCTAATTTTTTGTATTTTTAGTAGAGACAGGGTTTCACCGTGTTAGCCAGGATGGTCTTGATCTCCTGACCTCGTGATCCGCCCACCTCGGCCTCTCAAAGTGCTGGGATCCCAAAGTGCTGGTTCACAGGCATGAGCCACCGTGCCTGGCCATGCCCAGCTAATTTTTGTATTTTTAGTAGAGACGCAGTTTCGCCATGTTGGCCAGGCTGGTCTTGAACTCCTGACCTCAAGTGATCCGCCTTCCTTGGCCTCCCAAAGTGCTGGAATCACAGGCATGAACCACCGCGCCTGGTCACCCTCTTGCACTTCTGACACAACCAGCAAACCAAACAACCAAACAAACATCCCGCTTTCCCTACACAAAAGCAAAACCAGGCCTGGAAAGGAAGTGAATCCAGGAGAACAGAAAAGGAAGGTGGGTTTTGTCTCACGGGTCAAAACCCATATTATGGCACACACGCAGGGAAATGAATGACTCGCTCATCAAGGCATCACTGTGGGCTCTAATGGCTCCAGCCCTCAGCAGTCCCCCCAGCTCTGTGTCCCAATGCCTCTTCCGTCAAAGGGAAGCCCCTGTGACTGCATGATGCACAAGAAGGAAGGCGGTCATGACCATGGCTTAGAGGCCGGCCAGGGCACTCCCTCCTGCCTGCGCAGGAGGTGACTCCCAAAGCAGAAAGCACAGATGGGACGTAAAACATGCAAAACACACATCTCAACATTTATCCAACCATCTGCTTTGAATATGGGAAGTTTACTGCATGTCAATTAAACCCGTATAAACTGTTAAGGAGAAAACGAAGAAAAAAGCAAGTGTAAAAAAGCAGTGTGGGCCGGGCGCGGTGGCTAACGCCTGTAATCCCAGCACTTTGGGAGGCCGAGGTGGGCGGATCACCTGAGGTCAGGAGTTCAAGACCAGCCTGGCCAACATGGCGAAACTGCGTCTCTACTAAAAATACAAAAATTAACTGGGTGTGGTGGCAGGTGCCTGTAATCCCAGCTACTCGGGAGGCTGAGGCAGGAGGCTCACTTGCACCCGGGGGGGAAGAGTTTGCAGTGAGCAAAGATCGAGCCACTGCTCTCCAGCCTGGGCGACAGATTGAGACTCCAGACTTCGTCTCAAAAACAAACAAAAAAGCAGTGTGTACAAAGACTGGAAATCTTACCCCCAGGATGAGCTGGGGTTTGGAGCACTGATTTTCTGCTCTGTGATTAGATTTTCCAATCTCCCCACCCCTCTCAGTGACTCCTAATAAAATGCACTCTCGCTTCCACTTTCTAGCCCCTCCTCGCTGCAGGGAGGCGCAGCTTGTCCTTGGTGGGCGCCTCTTTCCGGGGTGGGGGGACCCTGCCAGCGACTTTGGGAACCCCGAGCAAGAAGGGCCTATTCGAAAGGGCCCGACTGCCGCTTGGGCTTAGGGGTCCTGAAGCCCTGCAGCATTTTCACACACACCGGAAGGTGCGGGGTCCTGCGGCAGGACAGTGGGCAGGGCCAGGAGTTCGCCCCCACAGCTCGACCCCGCACCCTGTATCCCCCTCCCGGGGAATCGGTCTCCCTGCTGCCCGCGTTCGCCCCTCCTGGGGAATCCGTCTCCCTGCCTGGGTTCGCCCTTCCTGAGGGATTCCGCTTTCCCGTCGCCAGAGTTCCCCCTTCCTGAAGGCCTCATCAAGGCATCACTGTGGGCTCTAATGGCTCCAGCCCTCAGCAGTCCCCCCAGCTCTGTGTCCCAATGCCTCTTCCGTCAAAGGGAAGCCCCTGTGACTGCATGATGCACAAGAAGGAAGGCGGTCATGACCACGGCTTAGAGGCCGGCCAGGGCACTCCCTCCTGCCTGCGCAGGAGGTGACTCCCAAAGCAGAAAGCACAGATGGGACGTAAAACATGCAAAACACACATCTCAACATTTATCCAACCATCTGCTTTGAATATGGGAAGTTTACTGCATGTCAATTAAACCCGTATAAACTGTTAAGGAGAAAACGAAGAAAAAAGCAAGTGTAAAAAAGCAGTGTGGGCCGGGCGCGGTGGCTAACGCCTGTAATCCCAGCACTTTGGGAGGCCGAGGTGGGCGGATCAC